TGTTAGCTGTTTGCCTGCCATGCTGGGAATGGAAAATGGAAATGCTAAGGAAAATGAAGGAAATGCAATGTCGTTAACGTGGCTCATAGGCTTGGCTTGCTGGCTGGTTGGCTGGCTGGCTGGCTGGCGGGTGGAAATAAGGCAGGTTGGCAGCCAGTATACGCATATGCTTGACACGGAAAATGCAGTGGCTTTGCATACTAATGTCCCCGGTGCCGAAAGACAAACGGAGGAAATAGATGCTCATAAAAATTACTTTTGGTGGTTATAAAACGCCAGCAGCCACTTCCATTCAAGAGCGGCCCCTTGATCCAAAAGCCCACGCGAAATGCAGCCCACAGATATCGGTTAAAGTGGCCAAAGCTGTATATATCTTGCGATTATCATGTGGGCGCCGAGTGAAAATTGCGTGCAATTATCCAAAGATGATATCAGCATTGGCTGCCGTAAATGCACACATAAATATACGATCCATTATTGTGGCCCTTGGGGCAGCGATTTGTTTGTGTGCTTTCTTAAGCTGCGATTCGAACTGGTTTGCGCCAATCGACTGCTATAAATAAACAATTATTTTCCATGCAAAGCCAGCGAATGCGACCGCCGCAGACACTGCCATGGAATGTCACCATAGAGAATAATAATAATAGTAAGAAAATAAATAAAATTACTATGCTAATTTAGCAGACGCACTGGAATCGTGACAACAAAGTTACGCGTAGGGTTTGTTGTAATTACAATAATCATAACCATGACTAATCCATAATATCTGATTCATTCACAATAAAATTCTAGGGTTCAAGGTCTTTGCCCTTAACAAGTAGATCACAAAGTTCGTTTAGTTTCATCGGCTAACACTTGCTATCGCCGACATTCCATTAGCTTTGAACTTCTACCTTTAGGCAGCTAATGTATCCGTTTTGTGAGCGAAGCAATAATTAAATGGTTAAGTGCAGCTCAAGCTTATTCATCTGTGGCTTACTGGGTCCAGTGAGATACACTCACGTACACCAGATAGAGACAATTCAATTTAGCCAGCTTATGGCCATTGTTATGGCCATTATATCTAGCTAACATTTCAACCGCTGACCGTTGGCGTTGGCGAAACAAAATGAAATAAAACGCTTCACACTCGACTTGACTTGGGCTGGCATTCAATAAGAATTTCAGAATTCGGCGACATATTGAAGCCACTTCAGAGCAGCTGATGCCACGAAATATAAGAAATATTGGAAAATAGAGAAAAAAAGCGTGCGCAATAATAATTGTAACAGCAACAGCTAACAAATCAAAAACAACTCATACTTTGGTCCACTTTGGAGCTACTGCCACCAAAAATTGCTTACTTTATTTACTGAACTGATTTCAATGATTCTGATTCATTTATTCTCAAAGCTCATTGAAACTTAAAAAGTTTTCCATTGCATTTCCGTTGACCGCCTTCGAAGTGGGAATACTTTAAGAAGCAAAAAACTCACAGTTGTGGTCAGAAAAGTGGCGCATTAAAATAAAGAATAATACATTTTTTAATTTTAAATAAAATATACTTTATTTGTTTAGTTTCTGTACCAAGTCTAGGCTACTGACTACACCTGTACTAAAGTTATCTAAGCCATTATTGGTCTATAAAAACTTATCAATGACTGTTTAAATCAGCCCATTTTGCAGCTTGTTTACAGATTTTTCCGTCGCATTCACAAAAGTGTTTCACAGCCATTTTGGCCATTGAATTTGTCAGCACAAAAAGCGCGAAAACAAAACAAAGTCGGCGGCAGCCATTGACAGACTTGTTTTGGCCAGATTTTTGTTTCTGATTATGTGTATACTTTGTTTGACTGTCCGGCGGCTCAATTGCGCTGCTTAATGTGATTTGACCAATTTGGGTTCTGTGACCAAAGGCAGAGCGTTAATTTGCCTATAATTATTCTGGCATGTCTATGAGATAATTGCACCATCGGATCTGACGGATTATAATGAACGAATCGTGGCCAATTTCGGTTTGAAATTAAAGTCAGTAGTCAATAGTCAAGGGTATTGAATGAAACCTTTTACCGCGTTTTACCCCCTTACTTTCATCGCCTTATCTCGCGATGCATCTTCATTTGGGTTTACTTTTGATGACACTCGTTAAAACACAGTTAACCCGATTTGCATTTGGCTTGATTACACTTTTTGCGACCAGCTTATTCTGATGTGGGTTTATCACTGGCCAGACATCTAACCGGCCAAAAGCCCAACCCAAACCCAAGCCCAGAAATGCCTGACATAAAGCTAACTTACTCTGTTGTGGCAGCTGTTTTCATTTCGATAAAAATGCAAATACATCACAGAGCGAAGTGAAAGAAAAATATCGTTATTAAACTCAATAACTGTCACCGTTTCTTGCATAAATTATAATAAGTTTCTGCGGCAGGAAAAATGCTCAGTCGAACTTCTAAAAGATATTTCATGTTTGCAGCGGAAATAGAAAAAGGCCGACAGGCAAACAAGATGGAAAATTAAGGAAGCTGGCGAAATGATAATGATAAATGTTTTTCGGACCGACGAAAGCGGGCGTAGCTTGGAATGAATATTCATGAATGATTAATGAGGAAGGAGGCGTGGCCCCTAAAGGTGGGCCAAAGTCAGAACTGATGGAAAATCTCCAATTACCTCGTGCGTCGGCCAGGGTTCACAGCTCCATGGTCAATGCACCCCAACTTATCTGGAAAACTGTCAAGCTCCTTATCCCCAATCCCATGGCATACACATGACATAATGTCCAAATATTTGGATCTTGGGCACATAAATAAGTTCAGCAAGTGTGCCTTATTTTTACGGCGCATCTGATAAGCGCTCGCAACTAAGTCTATTTCAACCTTATCGCCTAGCAGAAGACAAAAGCAAGTGTACGTAATACATTTATTTCAAAACTGGCATACAAAAAACCATTAGCATTCTGGAAAAATCAGTGTCATGTCGAAAGTCAAGAATTTTGAATTTTTTATGGCCATGCGGCAAAGTGCTAATTAAACTCATCTGGCTGCCGACAGACAGAAATGCGAGATACATACGTCTCATTTTGAGAGGGCAACTTTTTCACACAGGTGACTCAAGTTCTTGTTAAACGTGTCTCTTGAAATCAGAAAATGTGGTTAGAGTGTGGGAGGAATGCCTAATGCAACTACATATATTTAAGATAAAGTGCCATTGGATTTTAACGAGTCTTTATTTGTAGTTTTAGGTGTTTGAAATGGGTTTTAAACACCTTTTCGTTGCATAGCTCATAAATTATTGAAATAAAATGGCATAAAGATATTATGATTAATGATAGTATAATCGTATAATCTGTTTTCAGTTCGCTTTGCTCAACACGATCTTTTACGAGCCTAGCACACCCTCTTCACACCTACAAGATACTTTAGTACGTGCTGAACCACTTATCTTAAGTATCTTTATCACACAGATGGTTTATTTATTTTAATGAATAAGTATTTTAAATACCTTTCGGAAAGCCATTTTTCACACCATCAAATGACGGAATTTAGATAGCAAAATAACTTATACCTTTGACAAAATTAAATGTATAATATAATTTATTTATTTGTGTCTTTAGGATACTTATTCAGTGATTCCGATTTGACTCTGTGGTTTCCAGCCAGCATTTAAAGTATATATGCAATATGATTAATACGTGCCTTTTTTCAATTCATTTCTATGACAAGCCTGAAGACTATTGTTTGAGAACGCCCTCAGGTATACTTTTATACATTTTATAAATAGGTGTATCTTTCAAATTGAGGGTCATGAAATTTTTATAAAGAGAAGCTTAAACTTTTGATTAATAATTTAATGGGTTTCTAAGCCATTGCGTAAAACTTATCGCATTATAAATATAATACAGATTACTTTTAAGGCGTGAGAAATAAAGCTTAACCTTTTAAATACATCTATTTTGTGTGATTTTCGGAGGGCAAGTGTTACATAGTCTCTTTTCCATTGACAACATTGACGACTATTGTTCGAGAACGCCCTCAAATCATTTCACACCTACAAGATACACTGCTGTATCCAACAGATACCTGCGCTATTTGTCATTGTTGCAGCGGTGAATTAGTCATGCCAAACCCGAGTTGAAAGCAAATGTTATTGCTCCTCAAACTCGTAATTCCCGCATCGCCATGGTCGCGTTGCGAATCGAGCTCCAGTTCCTAACGTATCTTGAACTTGGTAATGGTAATGGTGGGGAATCTTCGGCGATGTCACGGCGGCGGCTATGCAAACATCAAAAAGTCTCAGACGTGCATAAGAATTAAGCTGAGCTTGCAGCAAGGGAAGGTAAACAACAAGACCAGACGCGGGCTGGTTGGGGAAAAATAAAGTAGAAAACAGAAAAGTATCTGCCAGATACAAGTTCTTCGGGCGGAGTGGGTGCATCCACACACGCGTGAGCTGTGTGTTCACAATATGCCCCTCAAGAGACACATATACATATACTATTACAGCTACCGATGTAAAAACAGAAACGATGGGACAAATGTCCGGGGAAAAAACAAGGAGACAGTTAAGTATCTCGTACCTTTGCGGTGACGTTGATTCTTTGTTCTTTGACTCCGCAGCTTAATTAAATTTATAAACCGTTAAAATAATCAGAACCCGGCTGCGGATTCCTTCTGTGCAAGCTCCATCTTTAAGTTGTGAGGAAAGCAATTACAATCGCTTGTATAACCGAAGAGAGAAAGCATCTGCCCATGGTGATGTGTGCAGTTGAAAGAAAATATACATACTTTTATATCGAAGTCCAGCAAATAACGGGTTAAGTCAGAAAAATTACGTGCTGTTCGGACTATAATTTGTAATTAAAAAAGAACCAAACAATGTCTATGAATTCCAAGGGGTTATCTGATATTTGGTTCAATTTTTCTAGCCTGATTTAAAGATGAACGACTTGTAAATACCCATAACTCGAACTGAGCTTTCTTAAGCACAGATTAAATTTGTTCTTTGATTATTTTATTCTTTACCTTGCTGGTTGCGAGATACTTTCGTATTCAGCGCCGCCTGACCGCTCGTTCGTAGAAATGGCTTGTACAAACTCTGGAGATCCGCCAAATTCTGCGTTGTTTGGCAAAGAAATTATCCAATTCGTTCTCGGAGTTCGCTGGGTTCGTTGCTTTCGTTGCTGCTACTTTGCATACACAGCTATTCGATGGTGATTACAGTCGCTCCGCGCGGTATCTTCGAGATACATACGTTTCGTATTGGTGTGTATATAAATTTGATATCAGAACGAATAAAAGACACACGAAGAGGAGCACTTCTGAGGCACAGGTAGAAGGAATGAAATCGCACAAATCTTAAACCGGCAATCTCATCGCACTCACAGATACACAAACACGCACACATGTATCTTACTATTCAACAGCGGAACGGAGCGACATTCGCTCGGTTCGAGACGCGTTCGTAGACTAAAGTCGGTTTGCCAAGTCGATCGGTGGGATTTGGGATTGAAACGCGGCCAGCGGTTGAAAGCAACAGGTTGAAAGCGGCTCTTACTCTCTCTCTCTCTTGGTCAGAAATCGAGATACGCAGATACTCTGTTACTCAGATACTCAGACACTGCTACCTGAGGCGCCCTTCTCGCATTATCATTAGGCCGAATGCTCGACGGCGACGTCGCCTGCTATCAGTTTAATTACGTATGAGAAAGCCACACATTGTTCTCGTTCTCACTCTTCCTCGGGTTTTGATGCCCGGATTCGCGTGAACTGCACTAAGTTCCCAAACTGGATGCATTTAGGTGCATATTTATACACTGCCCGGCGGCAATCGGATCCCTGCAAGGGCATATTCGCTAAGGGACTAAAGTGAGTTCAGGGAAAAGTGAACTCTTGAATTTCAATATTAGTATGCCCACTATGGGAATTCATGAGCTGTCATATAAAATATTTGAGTGGCAGTACTTTCTTAGGTTTCGAATCATTAATATTTTCTTAAATTCCTTTCCCCACTGATTTTGGCCACTTCTGTGGAGTTTGAAATTAAACATAATAAAATGAAGATTGTTCTAGCTATATCAGTTAAATAGAAAGAAATTGTAAGTAAAAAAAATAAGACACACAAATTTAGGCAAATAAAATTACTTATGTGTGGATAACCATATTTATTGCAATAAAACATGTCAAAGCAAACCAAGTTAAACTTCTTGTTTGTATGCATAATTGAGTGTATGTTATTAATAGGAAAAAATGTCTCCACAAAACGAGACATGATTGCAAAACTATTTGCTTTCAGTTTGTTATTAAATTTGATTACTCAGATAAAACCTTATCACAAACAAAGCGTGCCAGTGCACATGTCTAATATCCTTAAGCTATTTGATATTTAAAACCTTTAGGCATGCGATAAATTATCTTGAAATAATCGGACAGAGAAAATAATTATACATATAAAGCTACGAAAATGGAACAAGTTTTTTGAGTGAATTAAACTTTCCGATGGAAACTTTATGGCAAAAAGTTCTGTTCTGTTTTTCATCCACAGAGTGTCCAATATCCGCCTACATATGAGTGCGATTTCACTCTTTTCCGTCCACTAACGTGTGACTTCGTGCAGAAAACATTTTCACATGCCCCCGAGTGCAGTGGAATTTGGAGTGCAGTTACAACTATAACAATAGCCAGTAATATTTGACATGCGGTACTGACAAATATCATAGTTGTTGAATTGCATTTTAAGAGTATATTTAATTATTGCTGGCCATGCGGTGTGGCGCTTTGGGAATGTTAACTGGCCCCAGAGCCATTGTTTTCCATACAAAACATCTGGCATATGTGGCGTTAATTACCAGTAGAATTGCCCCGGGCACCCCACATCAATTTACATCTAAATTGCAGTTGCTCCAGGACACCCGTGTCAGGTGATGTGTAATCAAAGCCACCGCCACAGAATCCAAGGCAGTTCTTGGTCCTTCCAGCCGGTCAACAAACTCGGTGTCACCTAATGAGCCGATCCCAGGCGATGAGTGGGCGTTAAGCGGCCAATTAAGTTGGCTGATGACCAAACCCATAAAGCCAGGTGTAATAAAAGTATACTCGTACAGCCATGCCATGGTAACTGAGGGCTTTCACAGGCCTTTTTCGCTGACTGAGCCAAAGTTTTCAGTACCCATTTTTGATGGCCATCACCGGAAAGTGGAAGTTCGCCCGACAGATGAGCAGCGATTCGCTGGCGTAGCCTAGCAGCCAGATTATAATTAAAAGTAATCAACGACATTATCAAGGCAAATGCTAAGGCCAGAACGCAGAGCATAAAGCCAAGGCTGAGCAAAGGCAAAATCCAGAAATTCTGCGGCGCAACAAGTCAAAGTAGTTGGGCCCTCGGCAGTGGAACTCTGCCACTCTCTCTCTACACATCAAAAAAATGGGAGGTATTTTGCATTTATTAAGGCACTATCTTGCGGTGCACAGTGCAATAACTTATTCCTGACCTGCTTTCTTTGAGATAGGTGTAATCACAGTTATTAGGTTTAGTTTTACCACAGTTTAGTTTTTATTTCAATGCCAGTAATAATGAATGCACATTTTATGCAATGGATAGCACTTTAATATTGTATGCCATCTACAAAGAAATACTTTTAAAGCCATCTAAGCTACAGAATAATATCTTATTGTTAAACAAACGACTAAAAACATTCAGAAGAACTTCTGTGCCGCTCGAATGCGGCTAACAAAACATTTAATTAAGTTCCCTTTGCCGGCGAATGATGAACGAGCGCTCCATTAGATTTAATTTACTCAACAAGTATTACCAACATTATCAGTGTTATTAGCTAGATGAATGTGTATTCCCCGGCACCCCCTTTCCCTCCTCCATTCGTGCCATTCGTGTATTTGCTCACTGTGCAAGTGTGTTTGTTAGCGGAAATGAAGTAAGTGTGTTGCTGCTGCCAATGTGTGTGTTGGCCCAATGCATTTAAATTTCACATTAAATCTTCTTTAAGGGGATTTCTTGGTCTAGGGACCCCATTTGCTTGCCGAAATTAAAGGCAATGTAATATAATAATATACAATTAATTGAGCGTATCATATTTCGTTTGATCTTATAATTATTGTCCTTGCAAGGTAAGGTAATTACAAGCTAATTCGACTAATATCTTTTTTATTTTCTGCTCAATTGCATTCGGAGAATATCGGATAATGGCATCGTCTCAGCCGAAGGTGAGTTGCACAGAACCAAAGATTTACAGATTTATATCAAGTTTAATCTTTATAGGATTACCCAGGAAGTCGGAGAAACATAATATTTCAAGTATAATGTATACGTACGCTGGAAAAAAGTGCAGGATAAACGCTCAAATGAACGGGGATTTTGCATAATCCAAACTTGAGCAACGCGGGCACTACAGCCCTTTTGGCTTTTGCCATTTTACATTTCTATAGAACCGTGGACTTAGTTGGCTTAATGGGAATGCTTTCATCAATTGTTGTTCCAGCTGGATCGATGTCCACCCACGGCCTGAATGAATAAAGGACATCGCAGGACCTGCCACATGTGACCTGCTGGCCGACAGCCACTTCCTTTCGCCTTTCGCCCGCTTTGCGCCCGCTGCCAATCTCCAGTGGCGCTTTTCAATTTAGCTATTTCCGCCCCAACAGTGCCCAACACGATTAAGCAATCAGAGGCGACTGTAAGGCGCTACACCCGCCAAATGAGCCAGGCCAACGAAAGGAATCGGATGGGTAGCCAACTTTGTTGCCGGCGGAAGGGATTTATGTGTTTAGATTACTTGAGCCGGCAAGGCCAATGGAACCGCTTATATGTTTATATGATGGCCGCAACAAACCAGTCATTAAAGTGTACTAAGTTGGCCAAAGGAGCAAGTACTTGTACACAATATAAGTCGTCAAAGCACGTCGACTCATTAATGACCCTCATAAATTTGTAATGCCTTTTTGCTGTGATTGCATTACGTAATATATCATAAAAATAATTAATTATGCGCCAGTAAAACTGGCTTTCCACCACCATCATTGTTTCGGGAAAATTAATTCGTTTGCAGAAGAAATTAAATTTAAAGAATGCGAAATATATCATCTCGTGCGATTGATTACCGAAATCATTATATAGCCAATTTGTACGACCAGGAAAATAAATGCTGTCGTCATTAATACACTTTGCCATATTTCTGAGTTTTTTTTTAAATACGACCAGGAAACTGAGCAGTGACTGAAGGCTTAAGGTCTGGAAATGTCGTCATGGTAAACTGAACTCATGGTATCGATTCGTAGGCCTTAAAAATAATTGTCTAAAAGCGAAAACGTGTACGAGTACTGTCAACGAATGTCGCACAAGAAGAAAAGAGGACAATAAAATTGCTTTCCATTTTGCGGCAGCGTCGGCGTGACAATGAAAACACTTTCCAGTTATTTGAATGCCAATGCAGCATAAAACTCGGATCCTACCGCACACCACCCACCACCCGCCACCCATCACCCTTCACCCACCTTCCCGACCTTGCCCCACCTGTTCCCTTTTCGGCTAACGACGCATTAAAAGCGGGTGGAAGACTCTGGAACTAGAACAACAAACAATCCAGCCAGGGTCACGAAATACACCAGCACGAGGACGAGAGTATGCCCCAAGAAATTGAAATGCAGATGGGGGAACTTAGCTGAATGGAGGGATTCCTGCCCCGCCGAAAGGGATGCTGGTAAGTACAGTAAATGCTCCCTCGGCGAACGAGCCCCTCAGGCGGTCCACAATTTAATTCCCTTTTAACTTTATATTCAGTGGAGCGCGAACGGCTTTCGTCCATCATTATTTCCCTACTTTGAACTAGCAGGAGATGAAATAGTGTACAATCGAAAGCTGCCAATTATAATGGTTTCTTCCCCCGAGGAAATTACCAGTGTGAAAATAGTTGTCTAAATAAAATAAATGTTTGGTAGAAACTAGCCATAGAAATGGCCCAAAAGTATGCTACAATGTGGTCTGACTCTACAATTACCATGTATTTTGCGTCACGGCATACTTTTAGACACTTTAAATGGTAAAATCGACGCTGTTGTGGTTTTTGTGGCTTCTTCGGCACTTGCTAATTGAATATTTAAAGCCATAAATTACATTTAATCAATATAGGCTCAACTAATCGAGACTTCACTGTAAATACGTTTAACAAAAAGGCGCCTGCCCCGAAAAATGGGAATGATTTTCCGTGCATATCAATTTAGAACATCCGGCCGGCGATGCCAAACCTGGTGGGGCTAACAGACTGGATGACTGGGTGTACGCCAGTGGCAGACGCGAGTGATTTGTCGGCCAAGTGCCTGCAGGTAAGCCATGGCATACGTGTACCAGTGGGCTTATCCCAGCGCAAAAAGGGAAGAGGACTGTGGACCGCGGAGTCCGCAGCTCGGAGCTCGGAGCTCGGAGAAGTGCCACCGCAAAAGGTGGAGCCATAAATTACGGTCTCCAAATGTGCGAAACGTGCGTTTTCCGAGGGGATTGGCGCT